GGAGCCTGAACAGACCTCTGAATTGGGTCTGGGGGCTTCTTCCTGACTTCTCTGTGCCCAGGTATTATTTCCCTTTAGTCAGAAGGGGGGCAACCTGCATGCAGGTTGGTAGACTTGGAAACCGACCTTGCTGTGCAACCTGACCTTCTGAACACCTCCTCAACAATCCTGACCCTTGGAAGGAGCTGCTCGGAGAGAAGGTAGGGATTTCTCCGCTGCCGTGACTCACTCGTTCCTCAGTTTCCCTGATGTGCAATCCGGAAAAAGATGGGCAGAAGATAATGGGCTGCTGGCCCACCGTGAATTTTGCAGCCGAGATGAGAAGGACCAGCTGCTCTCCCTCCCTTTTAATGTTGGCCCCCAGTTTCTACTGACCCATGCAGGATTGAGGTTGACGGCCTGCCGAGATGAAAGTCTGCCCTGCCCCACCGCTAATCTTCCCCCACTGTTGGCTCAGCCATGGTTTGAAAGTGGTGGTGGGTGTCCTTTGTGAACCAAGATGGGCTGGAGGAAGAAGGAACAAAAGCTGCAAGAAATGTGGGGCGAAGGGAGGGAAATGGTGGGGCAAGGGGTCCATTTTGCTATGCAGGTCCCCCCCCCTCTGATTTTAACATCTCTTTTCCCAGTACTGCAAGTTAGAAATGGACCCTGTTTTTAGTGGGAGAACCTTTACTGGCATTTAGGCTCCAAGCCACCTGCCTAGGTGCTGACGGTTGTAGAACTGGGGTGTCCAACTTGGGTAACTCTGCATCCAGTTTTGATCACCACAATATAAAACAGACGTGGAGACTCTGGAAGGAGTGCAGAAAAGAGCAAGAAAGGTGATTAGGGGGCTGGAGACTTAAGACCTGTGAAGAATGGTTGCAGGAATTGGGTATGTCTAGTCTAGTCTTGTGAAAAGAAGTACTGGGGGGGACATGATAGCAGCCTTCCAGTATCTGAGGGACTGTCACAACGAAGGGGGCAAACTGTTCTCCAAGGCACCAGAGGGCAGGACAAGAAACAATGGATGGAAACTAATCAACCTGGAATTAAGGAGAAACTTCCTAACGGTGAGAACAATTAACCAGTGGAACGGGTTGCCTTCAGGAGTTGTGGGTGCCCCATCACTGGAGGCTTTCAAGAAAACACTGGACAGCCACTTGTCTGAAATGGTGTAGACTCTCCTGCTTGTGTAGGGAGTTGGACTAGATGACCTCCAAGATCCCTTCCAACTCTGTTATTCTATGTTCTATTCTATGTTCTAACTCCCAGAATTCCCCAGACAGCCACAAGTCTCAAAGTTGCCAACATTGGACATGCTGGCTGGGGAATTCTGGGAGTTGAAGTCCACAAGTCTTAAAGTTGGCCAAGGTGGGACAACCCCTGTTGTAGAAAATGGAAAGGGCTTAGGTGTGACTGTCTGGATTTTATATTTGCAAAAATGGGGCACTTTTAGATGTTTTCTTTTCTCCATCAGCTTGTGGGATCTACACTCACCACTCATTTTGTAGAGCAGGGTCTCCAAACTTGGCAATTTTAAGACTTGTAGACTTCCAGCACCCAGAATTCCTCAGCCAGCCTGGGAGTCTTAAAGTCACCTAGTTTGTTGTAAAATTTACAGCTCACTAGTTTCCTTTTAATTTCTCAATCCCAGTTTACTGTGTGGACTTCATCTCCCAGAATTCTCCTTCCTGGCTGGGGGCCTCTGGGAAGCCACAAGCTTAAAATTGCTGCAGTTGAGAAATCTTGTTCTAATCAGAGGTACCAAGATGAGTCATATCATTTTCCTTCCTCTGTGTTTTTTCTTTTTCTAGTAAACTTGCGTGATTAAGAATTCTTGGAAATTCAAAAGCTCGCAACGGTTTCATATGCTTCCGCTTGTATTCTATCTATGGATTATGTAGTTTATTTTTCTCGTAACCACAGGGTGACTCACCCTTGTTTACAAAAATAAAAGGGTCTCTCTCTATCCTTCTTCAGCATTTAATAGCTGGTCTTCTCCCCTCAATCTCATCCTACTTGCTCGTTTTTTTGAAAGCCACAACGCGTGGGGCTAATTTGGAAATTAGTTTTTTCTAGGAAAGCCTAAAGTCATTAATGTACAGTCCTTTACTTACAACCATTCATTTAGTGACCGTGTTACTAACCTGACTGCAGTGATTCGTTTAACAACTGTGGCAAAAAAGGTCATAAAATGGGGCACAACTCTCTTAACAAGTGTCTTGTTTATCTCAGTTGTTATAAGTAGAGGACTAGCTGTATAATACATTTTTTCCCAATAGATCTGGAATTTCTGTTTGAGAACATCCTGAGGTACGGGGCTGTCAAAAAAGTGAGGATGGTGAAGATTGTGTTGTGACGGTATAATCACAGCTTTTATCTTTATCTGTGTGCAACAACTTTGTTTTTACAGTTGTGGTTGCCACCTTGACTGTTTTGATAGCCACAGATGTACCGTCTTCATCACATAGCTTTCTTAATCAACAGATGCACATCCTGCCCTTGCCAGGAAAGCCAGCTGGGTGAACTTGGTTTAATAGTTAATTTGAAACCAGGAGACTGTGACTTTTAGCCCCTCTTAGGCATGGAAACTGGCTAGGTGACTTTGGGCCAGTCCCTCTCTCTCAGGTCCATCCACCTCGCAGGGTTGATGTTATGGAGAAAATGGCATCAGGAAGGAGTATTGGATGTGTTCACCCCTCAAGTTATTTATCAAAACCATTTATTTATTAAATGTATGTGGCTCTCCTCTCCCCAACAGGGCAAACAATAAAGGGAGGATAAAACATCTAATGAATAAATAAATAAATACATACCACTAAGTCAAAACGTGGTTTCTTTCATTTTGGCTTCATAGCTGGTGTGTAAGCAGCCATTGTGATTTTGTGGCTTAGCGTGTTGATGAGACAACCTGCCCTGATTTATGTAACATCACAGTTAAGCAACAGGGTCATCCGTGACTGTTCTAAGCCCAGAGATGCTAAAATTGCCAATGTGCGTTGTGACCCAAGTGCTATCCTTTGGCTCTTACATCGGGATGTTATTTATAAGAAATGATGTATTTATACAAACAATAATGTTCTGCAGATGCTTCCCTCGTCCTGAATATTCATTAAGTATTTGACGTTCTATATTTGATGAGTGGTGATGCTTGGTTTCACTGGAAGACATTTGGTTATGAGACAACTGACACGACAAGGCTGAGTTTTGACCATTAGCACGGCAGACTTGACAAGGTTTTAGTACTTGACATGTTGACGGCTGGGACTTTCAGATGGGATAACTGCCAAGAGTAAAGCAGGAGAAGCCCTGGTGTTCTGAACCAGGTGTCTCAACCTTAGCAACTTTAAGATGTGTTGGCTTCAACTCCTATGGCTGGCTGGGGAATTCTGGGAGTTGAAGTCCACACATCTTAAAGCCTGTTGACTGGGCTATTTGGGGAATAGATGTCTACACACCTTAGTTGCCAAGGTTAAGAAGGTTGTTTCAATATTTTAAATGCTAAGGATCTCCCTCTCTTTCCCTCCCTCCTCTTTCTTTCTTTCTTTCTTTCTTTCTTTCTTTCTTTCTTTCTTTCTTTCTTTCTTTCTTTCTTTCTTTCTTTCTTTCTTTCTTTCTTTCTTTTCCTTCCTTCCTTCCTTCCTTCCTTCCTTCCCTACCTCCCTCTCATTAAAAATCCAGATAATCACCCTTTGAAATTGCTCAAAATTTTTAAACATGTATCAGCAACACATACACACACACACACAATAGATGGAGCTTTGGTTGGGCCATCACGGCTGCCCTATTGACTTTGTTGACCACACCCTGCAGATGGTCCTGATGAGGACCTACCTGGTTCCCTGAACGGAGAACAAGGTCTGCTTCTCCTGCCCCCCTCTTCTTTGCACCCTGATTCAAAGCCTCGCACCGGCTCCTCCTAGCTGCGTGTGGTGTAGGCAGAGCCCATTTCAAGAGAAGAGCCTTCTGCATGGCTGTGGGCCTCAAGAATGTTGAGGAGAGGCAGTTGGTTGAGCCCTGTCTAGGAGGGAAGGATGTGGGGTGAATTTCTCACCATTCAGGAAACCGCTTAGAAAGTGAAAGTGGAACCCTGCAGGCTTGCCCGTCTTCCAGGATGCGCGCCACTGCCTGCGCGGATGGCTATCTCCGAATAAGACACCAGTGAACAATGTGCACCAAAGCAGCGCGATCCGGCAGCTGGCCTGGCAATATTTCAGCCAGGGCTGCATTTTGAATCTTGTGTGCAGGATTCTGGCTGGAAAGTCCCAACTTGAGCGGTGTGAAATTTCTGTTTGGTGTACCAGGATGTCATAATTGGCAGCCAACAAGGGCAGATTCATGCAGTGTTGCATAGTTAGAACAATTAAACAGTGGAACAGCTTGCCTCCAGAAGTTGCAAGCGCTCCATCGCTGGAGGTTTTCAACAAGAGGCTGGACAGAGCTTGTGATGAGGGCAGAAGATGGTCACCTTTCTGGACTTCAGTGGGTGAGAGAAAGAACTCTTGTGTTCCCGTGACTTTGCAAACAGGGGCATCCATCGCGAGCACATTGAACCTGCCAACTTACAGATTTTAACACACACACACCCTAGTTTGCAGAAGTTTGAATGAGGAAGAAAGCGTCATTGTTTCATGCTTCTTTTTTGTGATTCAGATAATGATGGGTGAATGAGTATATGGGTGAGGAACGCCTTCAGTTGCGTAGCTAGCAAATGATTTGAGACCTTGGCTGTGGTTGGCCCTCTCTACTCCAGAGAGGACTGGCTCTTCAGGATCCTAATAGAGGACCTTCGCTTCCCTTGACATCTGGTTCTGTTCAAGAGGGGAACTCAAAGTGGAATATGGGGACAAGCAAGAGCATTTCTACAAAATGGTGGCCTTTCCCCAACGGATCAGAGAAGGGCCCAAATAGGGAGCTGATCACTGATTGCAGGTCTGGGCTGGAGACCAGAGGTGGCGACTCCTGTGTTCCACGTCTTTGAAGTTCAGTGGCTTTCTTGTCTTTATGCAGCACCCAGTCTTAAAGGGAAACGGAAAAAGAAGAGCGTTCCCATGGCTGACAGTGAATTCCAGGAGATGCCAGGTGTGACCCCAGAGGAAGAGCATCTGGACAACCTGGAGAAGCTGGAACAAGTGGTGAGTATGGAGAACAGAGCTAGGGTAATTTTTAACTGTAATAAACCAAATGGAAAGTCAAAAAAATGTAATCTCCTTGACTGAGTTCACCTGTGAGATTAAGACCTAAGGTGGTTTATTTCATTCAGATGTAGCGTGTTGTATGAAGTTAGCCATTGTGGCTGAGTTAGCTTGCTATTGTTTAAACAAACCATGGTTTAGTGTAGCACGAACCTTTGCAGTGTGGTTATCTAAGGTAGCATGTCTCAACTTCAGCAACTTTAAGATGTGTAGACTTCAACTTCCAGAAATCCCTAGCATAGTGGCTAGGGAATTATGGGAGTTGAAGTCCATGCATGTAGGCTAGGGAATTCTGGAAGCTGAAGTCCACACATCTCAAACTTGTTGAGGCTGAGAAATGCCAAACCAGGGGTCTTCAAACTTGGCCCTTTTATGACTTGTGGACTTCAACTCCCAGAATTCCTCAGCCAGGTACGCTAGCTGTTGGTTTTAATTGCTTTGTTTTTATGCCTATAAATATTTCTAGAGGTATTTTTATGCTTACAAAAAGACCTTGGGAATAGGAGGCCCAGAAGCAAAGTGAATAAACAAATCAAAATGTTGTACTTCATCTTTTTGAGTTTAGGTAGAAGAATATGCGATAATTAAGTATTGATAATTCCTAGTATTGTTTGCAAATTTGTGACACTGCCAATTTTTTTTTTCTATTTAGAAATAACCGAATTGATAGTCGGTTTTTTTGTTTGTTTTGAACAAGATATAAAATTTATCTGAGAAATGGAGGAGAAAAATTGATTTCCAAATAAGAGTGAAATTCAGAAAGAAATTGAAAATGCAAGGGCCTTGCATGTTGCGTGTGTTGTGCACTGAAACTTGAAATGAGTTTTCTGTTGCCAAGAAATCATTCTTTTTCCTGAGAAACGGTTTTTGTACTGGGGGAACTCTTCATTTCCTCTCTTACCACGTTGGTCTCTGCAGCAAATCTGCAGTAAATGAGTCGGCCTTCGGAAATGGCGTAGCTCATTTCATTCATTTCAATTCAGCTGGCGCAGATTTCCAGTGAAATGAAGTTTCAAGACAACAGAAGCAGATACCCAAATTCAGCCCTGGAGGCACCTCGATAAAGGGGCTCAAAAAAAAAGTGATCAAAATCCCATTCCATATTATCTGTTGTTATTAATTGTGAAATCGTGTCCGACCCATCGCGACCCCATGGACAACGTTCCTCCAGGTCTTCCTGTCTTCTACCATCTTCTGGAGTCCATTGAAGCTCAGGCCTACTGCTTCAGTGACTCCATCCAGCCACCTCGTTCTCTGTTGTCCCCTTCTTCTATTGCCCTCAATCTTTCCCAGCATTAGGCTCTTCTCCAGTGAGTCCTTCCTTCTCATGAGGTGGCCAAAGGACTTGAGTTTCAACTTCAGGATCTGGCCTTCTAAAGAGCAGTCGGGGTTAATCTCTAAAAAAGGCTGGCGCTTTGATTTCATGGTTGTGCCCACCATATTGATTTTTCTGGCCTCTCTCTTCTGTGGAAGAATGGCGATTAAGATGGGTGATTTTTAATAACCACAACCAAACAGTTCACGCAGATGCAACAAAACACTTCTGGGAATGCAGTTGCCCCCCAAAATATGGAGCCATCTGAACAGAATCAGGACAGGCCGTGCCAGAACGAAGGCAAAGCTCTTTCAGTGGGGAACGGCTGAGAGCCCACAATGCTGCTGCCCTGCTCTGGAACAAACTATAATACATATAATTCAGGAATGTCCCCTGGTGGCACAGTGGTTAGAATGGAGTATTGCAGGCTAACTCTGCCCACTGCCAGGAGTTCGATCCTGATGGGGCTGTAGATTGACTCAGCCTTCCACCCTCCCGAGGTCGGTAAAATGAGGACCCAGATCGTTGGGGGAGCAATATGCTGACTCTGTAAACTGCTTAGAGAGGACTGAAGAGCTCTATGAAGCGGTATATAAGTCTGCATACTATTGCTCTTTCTACGGACTGACTCTGTTGTACAGAATCTGGGCGAGCCACAGGCTCATCTCATCGAGAGGGAAAATCTGTCCTTGAAAGGTGTATTTTGATTTCTCTGCTTCGGAGGAGGCTGCTTTTAAAAAGAGAACCAGTCCCATAAATAGCCTGGCAGCTAAAATAATCCTCTTGTGAATGGCGAAAAGAATAGAGCGAAGCAGAACCGGTGAGAACGAAGCAGCTGCCTTCCCTCCTTCTCACTCCCCCCCCCGTCCCCCGCCCCAAAATAGCAGCAAGTTTTCTAACTCCTGGAAAATTTAGAACAAACAAATGCAAAGCATTTTTAGCCGAGGGAGCGAGGGAGGGCGTGTGAGAGCGAGAATTGGTGTCGCTGTGTTTTCCTGGAAACAGCCTCTTGTGTTCTCACACATCTCAGCACTCTGACCAAGTTGGACGGCTGCCTGCCGGCTGTAAGCAGGAGACGCTCTGTGCTGAACGAAGGAGCTGGTTAAGCTTTGGAGCTCTTCAGTTGCCTCCCAACACAAAACAGCTCTGTGGGGTGGGAGGGGGGGAGGAACAGCTGTGCTATGGGGGGGGCTCAGAGGAGGAGAAATGGACCCGATTCAGGACCCGTCCTTGCGTTGAGGAAGGGGCGCCCAGCTTGGCCTGGGAAAACGCCCCTTCCCTCTTCCCTCCTGCTCCTCTTTCTCCTCCCGGGATTGGCAGCCCCGAAGCTGCCATCCAACAATCCCCAAATCAGGGCTGAAGAGGAACCACGCACTTGGATAATTTTCTTTAGAGGGGATTGATCACTCCATGCAGATAGTCCTTAACTTACAACAGTTCTTTTAGTGACCGTTCAAAGTTACGGCGGCAGTGAAAAACATTGACTCACGACCGTTTTTCACACTTACAACCGTTTGTAGCATCCCCACGGTCACATGATCAAAATTCAGATGCTTGGCAACTGACTCATATTTATGACGGTTGCAGCGTCCCCCGGACATGGGATCATCTTTTGCCACCTTCTGACAAGCGCACTCAGCGGGAAAGCCAGATTCACTTAACAATTTAACAACTGCAGTGGCAAGCAAGGTTGTAAACTGGGGCCAAGCACATTTAACAACTGTCTTGCTTAGCAATGGAAATTTTGGGCTCAATTGTAGGTTGTAAGTTGAGGACAACCTGTATTTTGATGATACGTATTGCTGCTAAATTTTAACAGGGTGGAGGGGTTTGGGGAAATCATGTTTTCCCTGTTTTGAAAATATTTTGGTTGTAGCCAACCAAATCTGCACAATGTAGCTGAGACTGACATTGCTTAGCAGTTTATGGGTGTGTTTGTGTGTGTGTGTGTGTGTGTGTACACACATGGATACTCTAGGAACAAACCGAAGGTCTTAGAAAGCTTGCAGAAATTTCAAGTCATTCAGGGTAGGTAGCAGAGGTCAAGAATGCAGTTGGGGGCTGTCCAATCAAAGTGCCTGCCCTCTTGATTTTTTTTCGGTCCCCTCCCCATGGACACCCTGGCTGAACTTCTGAATCCCTCTCCCCATTCAAATGGCCCTTAGTCCAGCTCATTTCTGAAGGGTGGACTCCAAAATGCTACACCAAGCCAAAGGGCATTCACACATTTCTGCACTTGTTAGACACGCGTTGGAGCAGTGCCAAATGGTTCTCAGATTGCGTTAAATTGTTTGTGATGAAGGGGATTCCTGCATTGAGTAGGCAGTTGGACTAGGTGACGTCTAAGGTCCTAGGAGCCATGGTGGCGCAGTGGTGAGACTGCAGTATTGCAGGCTAACTCTGCCCACTGCCAGGAGTTCGATCCTGACCGGCTCAAGGTTGACTCAACCTTCCATTCTTCCGAGGTGGTGGGTAAAACGAGGACCCGGATTGTTGGGGGCAACAGGCTGAATCTGAAAACCACTTAAGAGAGGGCTGTAAAGCACTATGAAGCGGTATATGTCTAAGTGCTGTTGCTATTTTCAACGGCTGTATCCTCTGCATCCTGGTTTGTTGAGCAATTTACAGTTGGCTGGCTTCTCAGAACATACTAGGACAGGAGTACATTAAGTTCAGATGGTTGCTCCAGCCTTTAAATAGCAGGTTGAGGACGGATGCGTCAGAAATGGTCACGGTCTAAAGCCCAAATGGGTGGAGGCTGTTCAGAAGTTGTAAGAAGTAATGTGAAAGCAAATGTTTAAGCCAAGAAACAGCTCGTTGGCTTCCAGTCATCTCCGTTGTTAATCAACCAAGAATGGCTGCGTGTTTCCAGCGAGCTAAACCAAAGCACACAGGAGGAGATAGAGTCACGCCGATCTATGTGAAGCCGAAGAAAAAGAACATGGCTTGTGGACTTCGCTCAACTTCTGTTATAACCCTTGCTTTTCTCTCCTGGGAACAGTGCGCCTCGTTGTTCCTGGATCCCGCTAATTGACGCCGGGGTTGGAGGTCATGAATTCTGGAGCTCCGGCTTCTGCAGCTGTTCCAAAGCAAAACAGGGTCCCATCTGTTTTCTGTTTCCACTAGAGCAAATGATTCGGGTCTCGGAAGAAGCCAATTTAAAAAGAAGAAAGGAGCTGGATCACAAACCAGCCCTTTGAAGCTGTTTGGGTTATAAAATGATTTTTGGCATTGGATCACGCTTGGAGTACGGCTGTGGGGGCAGAGCCGTAGCTGAGTGACAGAGCATCTGCTTTGCATGAAGTCTGTCCCAACTTCACTCGTCAGGCGTCTCTCTCGGTCTTGGGGGCTAGAAAATTCCGAAATGCTAAATCAACTTGTCAGTAGGAATCGTCCTGAGAGCATCCTATGTCCTTGGTCATTGAGGAAGGCTCTGAAGCCAAGAACGCCTTGCTGTGTGGCTACAAGCAATGGAAAGAAGGGACTACACAAGCATTGGTCTAAAATGGTAATAAGGTCTCCTGCCTTGAGACCTCCAAGGTCCCTCCAACTCTAGGATTCTATGTTCTACAACGTCAGTCCTTTTTAATGGAACGCCAGTGTTTTGCTGAAATGTAGTTTACATTTTACAAGACATGTCGCCTGACCGGTTGCTGGTTCCCAGTCTTAAACTTGGTATGAAGCAGATTTCTGCTCCTCTTCCAGAGACTCCGTTCCCCAACCAGGCTGCTGATTCCCGCCCCCCTCAGTCCCAGCCAAAAAACTGTGATATGGTTTCCCTCAAGTTTTAAATGGGAAATAGAAAAAGAAAAATAGCTGCTTTGAGCCCTGCAACTAAGCTGAAACCTTAGTTGACCCTACTTTGCATCTTTACTTGACTTCCTGTAATCCTTCTGCCAGAACAATTTTTTCAAATGCAACTCATCAAAAGTTGTCCATTCCTATCCTCTGTTTTGTACTTCATTTCGTTGGCCCTAATTAAAATATTATTCAGCTAGGAACCTGGAATTTCTGTTTCTCCATAGTCCAATCTCACTTTCACTCCCCAAGGTTCAAGTTTCATCCAGGCTCTTGGGAACGCAAGTGTGCCTGCAGAATTGAAAGTCTCCAGTTCTCTTGGATCACAAGGATGACATTCTGGTTTTACTATTGCTTCATTATTAATATTGGTTTTCACAAAGATGAAAGTGTAAAGGAATTTGGTCAGTGGAAAAAATAATGAATCATGCAAGCTGCCTGTTTTAATTGCAAACGAGACAAATATGAAATCTTTTGCAATTCCCCCTTCAGAATAATCAAAACCTCCTGACTGGGTTTCAGTATCTTTAAAAAAAAAGCAGTATTATTCTAAAGGAATTGCAAAAAAAAAGATGGAATACTTGGAGATTTGATTGAATTTGTAGACATGGCAGATAGTCCTTGACTTAGAACCATTTGTTTAGTGCCTGTTCAAAGTTACAGTGGCACTGAAAAAAGGGACTTATGACCGTTTTTCACACTTATATGACCGTTGGAGCATCCTCAGGGTCACGTGATCAAAATGTGGACGCCTGGCAACTGTCTCATATTTATGATGGTTGCCGTGTCCCGGGGTCGTGTGATCACATTTTTTGTGACCTTCTGACAAGCAAAGTCAATGGAGTTAAGTTGAGAAAGGCTTCTCTCATGTTAGGTAGAAAAAATGGTCTTTCCCAGCTCTGCAGTCTGGGGTTGTTTTAAGCAGTACTGTGAGAAAATAAGTAGCGATCTTTGGGAGAAGGTGAATCTTGATGTTTGGTGAGTCTTTCTGGAGGCTCCATCCGTTGCGTTGTGGGCAGAACCTGGGGCCAGGAGGAGATGAGATGCTGTTGAGCTTCCTCAATTTCTCACTGTCCCTTCTTGTCTTCTCTCTGGTGGTTAGTAGTAAACAATTGCCTCTGACTGATTGCCCTTCCTCGCTCAGGTATCTCCAGCTGTCAAGCAGGATGAAGCTGAGCAGAAACCTCTTGAAGAGGATTCGGGAGATGAGGAGATGCTGAGCGGTGAGAAGGAAGAGGAGCAGACGTTCCTGGTCAACCTCTACAAGTTCATGAAAGAGCGTCATACGCCAATTGAGAGGGTGCCTCACCTTGGCTTCAAGCAAAGTATGTTCTTGGCTGCCTTTTCCAAAAGTGTGTGTGTGTGTGTGTGTGTGTGTGTGTGTGCATCCATGTTTCTTGTGTACCTTGTCCTTTCCTCAGGCAACCCGTTATATCACACAAATTCAGGGTGTCTGTGGCTGCATTTGCACAACAGTTCTTATCCCAAGCCTAGGTCAACAAAGCTTGGTTGTGTTTGCAAAGCCTGTAAACCACAATCCTCATGAAATAATTTCTGTTAAAGCCAACGAAACATTTGCAATTGTTGGACCAATGTTATTCCTAATAAAAATTTCCAAACTTGGAGCATGGTGTGCACAATATGAAAGAAATCAAAAGAAACACTTGCTAAATATGTGAGGATACGCTGCAGAATCTATAAGATTTGTCTGTCTGTCATCATCTTTTGGACTCCCCATCAACAATTAGCTATTTGAAGCATAAGCTAATCCGTTGTGATAAAATACTGTAGAAGCAATGCCGATTTTCAACAAGTGGGGTTGCATCAGTACCCAGTTCTCAATTCTACAGAGTAAAGACTTTCAGGACAGGTTTTTATACTACTCCAGGTAGTTCACAAATGAAAAGTTGTAGCTCAAGCCATACATTATCTCTTCTCTGATTTTTGGCTGTTATCTGATCTTTCTCTCTTTTTCTCTTTTCTTTTTAATAGTTAATCTGTTTAAAATCTACAAAGCTGTGGAAAAACTTGGCGCCTACGAACTGGTAAGAGTAAATCAAATTCACTGCTTGGAAAAGCAGGGGTGAAATGTCTTGAGGAATTCTTGGCAGAGCACGACATGATTCTTAAGTCCTCAACTTATGACTGCTTGCTTACTGACTGTTCCAAGTTACAACTGACTCCGAAAAAGGGACTTAGGACCCAGATTTGGCATCCGCTGCTATTTCAGATCACCTGTCCACTGACCTTAGTTGATCTGGAAATATCCACTCAACGTGGTTAGATCATAGATTTAAATTTTAGGTTTAAATCTTAAGGACCACAAAAAACAGGGTGGGAAAGTAAACTATTCCAAAAGAAGAGCAAAAATTGAGGTGCTAGAAAGTGCGCAGAGAAGAGCAACAAAGACGATGAGCGATCTGGAAGTTACAATGATGAACGGTTGCAGGAACTGGGTATGTCTAGCTCAGGGGTCTTCAAACCTGGCCCTTTTATGACTTGAGGACTTCAACTCCCAGAATTCCTCAGCCAGCCTCCATTTTGTTTGTTAGATTTAAGACAGGGGTCTTCAAACTTGGCCCTTTTATGACTTGTGGACTTCAACTCCCAGAATTCCTCAGCCAGCCTCCATTTTGTTTGCTAGATTTAAGACAGGTGTCTTCAAACTTGGCCCTTTTATGACTTGTGGACTTCAACTCCCAGAAGAGGAATTCTGGGAGTTGAAGTCCACAAGTCATAAAAGGGCCAAGTTTGAAGACCCCTGTTCTACATGTTAAAGTAAATTCCGTTGAACAAGTCCACGAGGGCACAGGGAGTCAAGCTTGACTGAGGGAGAGAAACCTCCACAATTGACTGGTCCCTACTTGGCTATGGCTGATCCAAAAACCTGATTTGCGTTGGATCTAGCTAGGACTTGAAAAGGAGACCACCAAGAAATCCCAGGAGAGCAGACCAGACTAGAAAGCGAAAAAGAACCGAGAATGACTTTTATTTCACCTTTGTTTCAGGTCACCGGAAGACGTCTTTGGAAAAATGTTTACGACATGTTGGGAGGCAGCCCAGGAAGTACCAGTGCTGCCACTTGCACCCGGCGACATTACGAGAGGTATTGCTCACATCCGTCCCCTTTTCTTACAAGAGGAAGCGCCCCCAGAAGTATTAGCTGTAGCTTTATTGGAAGGTTTGTTGTTGTTGTTAGTTGCGAAGTCGTGTCCGTCCCATCGCGACCCCATGGACAACGTTCCTCCAGGCCTTCCTGTCCTCTACCATCTTCTGGAGTCCGTTTAAGCTCATGCCTACTGGTTCAGTGACTCCATCCAGCCACCTCCTTCTCTGTCATCCCCTTCTTCTATTGCCCTCAATCTTTCCCAGCATGAGGCTCTTCTCCAGTGACTCCTTCCTTCTCATTAGGTGTAAGGTTACATTAACAAAATCTTACATCTCTTTCCCCTTACCTTTACATCCAAGAAATCAGGGAGGATCCCTTTCTGAGACGTTTGCCAGATTCCCGATTCCTTCTGCAGATTCAGCTCCCCCTTCTCTGTTTTCTTGTCTATGTCTCTTCCTTCTGTTCCCCCAAGGCCATTCCCACTGACCATTCCAGATGTTGGTCTTAGTGTCTTAAGGGCTGGCAAGTTGAGGAAAGGATGACATCTCCATCCTTTCCACAACCAGCAAGGTCTTCATAAAATCCTATTGGTGTGAACTTTTAGGGGAGAGGAGAGAAAAAAAGGCTTTATGATGAATTCTGGGCCTCCTGTTGCTTGAACACATCTAGAGCATGGCCATAATTTCTCCTTCCCCAACATCTGCTTTGCAGGCTGGTCCTGCCGTACGTCCGACACCTGAAAGGGGAGGATGACAAGCCGCTGCCCCCAATCAAGCCTCGAAAACAGTACAAGATCTCCAAGGAGCCGAAGGGGGATCACATGGTGGAGAAGAAGAGAACGAAGAAAGAGAAGATGAGAGATCCAGTAAGGAGACCACTTTTTCCCCCCCTCAAATGTTGCTTTCTTGCATGCTCAACAATGTAGGGTGGGCAACCCATACAAGGTATGTGTTACCCGGAGGCAGACAACCAGGAGCATGTCAAAACAGTCGAGAGGCTGATCACCATGGTGTGTGCTACCAGCACATATTTTTTGCAGAGTCTGTTGACCCAGCTGTAGAGAGGATTTGAGATTTGCGCAAGAAAATAGGAATTTTTTTTCTCTTTCGTGGACTGATTTCACCCAAGCTGTGTTGGGTTTACCTCCTGCTGGAGGCCCAGTGCATCGGGAAAGTATCCATTTGACAAAACCTGGTTTATGGTTTGCCAGCCTTGGATTTGAATATTTCTTGGGGCTGGCTGCCCTCTGGGGCGACTCGGAGAAGGGCACCGAGGGATAATTACGCTTAGTGATTCTTGGGGCTGATGCGCCCTTTCCTTCCCTAGACACCTAATCATAATCCTAATTATAATTATTCACAATAGGTATTTGTTACTCCAATGGACTCTAGATGGCTTATACAATATAATACTAATCAAAAGAATTTAAAAACGTAAACAAAATAAAACACGACAGCCTGTTGGCTATCTCCTAGGAATCCTTGCAATTAATCTGCTAAAAAAAAACAATTTGCCAGGTCTGGTACTTGACAGCCAATGAACTCTGTAATTAAAGACAACTCTCAAGTGAAAAAGAGCCAGGATTCCCTAGCTCGATTCTCCCAGAAGTGTTCAAAATCAGCCTAAAGGTTACTTAAGGGCAGATGTGGGCAGCCCATGGAACTGGGAGCCCTTCTCGCAACGGGGCTCTTTCAATTCAGGGGCAAACTAACTGATTGGCAAGGTTGCCATCTTCTGCTGAGGTTTTGGCAGGGCTTCCCTTAAAATAGGGGCATCCAGTCTCTCACGGGCATAAGAAGGAAAGCCTTCTTCAAGTTGAGTTCATCTCCTGCTACTTCGGAGACTCAACCACATAATTTCCTTGTAACAGAATCGAAATCCTTGCCACCTTCTGCTTTTTAAAAAAAAATCCCTGTTTAGCCAAACTATGGAGATCTCCTGGTGGTGTTCCATCCAACTACTAACTAGAACCATCCCAGGTTCCCTTCCAAACCAAGGCAAGGTCAGTCAAAGGCTAACTACATGTGCAAGAAATTAGGAACCAGGTTGTCCAAATGAGTACAAATTTAATCCATGCTAGCTTATTGCATGAATCTGAACTACTAACAGTCAAAGCAAATTGATGGTAGATAAGAGTCAATAGACTTCAAGGACTTGGATCTCTTGTGGCCACCAAGGGATTCCAAACTGATGACGCGCTTGACCCCTCCCTTGGTCTCAGTCTGTTCATCTCCTACACTTACCCTATGGTCTGCAAGCATTTTAAAACAACAACAATACCTTCCCCTTATATATAAAAAAAAAGGCCAACAAATTCTACAGGAGTGAAAAAAGTATGTTGTCTTGTTGTTACTGAGAACTAACAATTCTGTCTTGAAAGAGGAGGTAAGTTTATACCTCAGCTGAACCTTGAGCGATGAAGACTTCTGCTTATTTGCATTTTGCAGATGCGTAGAAGGACCTTCTGGACCTCCCATCTTATCTCCCTTTGTCAATTAAATATTCTCCTTTAATTGCAGAGTTTGCCAGAGAAAGTGAGGCCGGATGTTGCTTTGATCTGCAAACCTCCCAATGGCACTGAGCCGAATCAGTCCCGGGATCAAACCGAGGGGCGCCTCTCCCTTCCGAACAGCCGAGAGATAGCCGAGACTCAGCCCACCGGCAGCTGCCTTGGGAACTGTCGATCCCACGGCTGCTCCGAAGCCTACACCCGTCTCTTCTCCAGCTTCTACTTCAAGGGGAACAATGGCATCATGTCTCCCTTGGCGAAGAAGAAGCTGCTGGCGCAGGTGAGCCAGGATGAATGTTTGTATGCTCATGAGAAGAAGCATCTCAGCCACTGTCCTGAATACAAGAAGATCAGGATCCGGGAAATGTCAGGCTTGGACTCCGAGGTTGGTCGTCCCCAGAAAGAGGCCCCAAAGACAGGAGCGGAGGTGAACGGCTCCAGCAGTCCTCCAGGTCCTTCCCAGGTTGGAAAAGCCAATAAAGGTTTGATGAAGGCCCCTCCAGGGTTCAAGGAGGGAGCAGGGTCCCTGAATGCCGAGGAAGAAAGCTCTGGAGCTCACCTGACTACTGGGCCACCTGCCTTTCATGGCTATTTCCACACCTCCAGCAGCACCATCTTGAAACCCATCAGCGGCCTTCGAGGACCGGTGGAATATTATCCCAGCTTGAAGGACCTCCCTGTGACTTCTCCAGCCTATTCTAAGCCTGGAAAAGAGGCCCTGGTGGCACCTGGGTTTCAGAAGAAGCAGGAGAGCTTGGAGGACCAACCAGAAGATCTCCGCAGGAAGTCAGGTCAACCTTGGAAAGTGGACCATCAGCACTCTTCTGCCTTCCAGGCTAGTACCCTGAGCAGCAAGGCAGGCTCTCCCCCATTTCAACCGGTCAAATCCTCCTGGGCTCCACCTGTGGTCAACCTGGCAAAGGTCAGTCCACAGGTCTCCAAGAACGGAGGGCTGTCCGCGTCTCCAGGCCAGGCGAGCATCACCGTACAGAAGAAAAGAGCCTCGGAGGAGGACTATTTCCTGCATGGCAAGAAGCTCAAGGCGGTGTCTCCCTTCATCAAGGAGGTGGACCCAAACAGTGGCCTGGATCGGGGAACCTCCCCCAGCGGGCAGCCAGGGATAGCAAAGCCGAAGGCAACGGTGGCAGGGTCTGGGTTTCCACATGCCCACATGCCTCAGATCCAGGACATGTACAAGGGCACCATGCTGAGGTTGCCCGTTAACTTTAGCAGCAGCCCAGGAGAACATCTCAAGGACCAGGCCCCTTCGCTGATCCAGTCTCTCTCCATCAACCCGTTTATTATCCCCGCCTTCCCAACCCCACTATTAACTGCGTCCGTCCAAGCCTCGGATCTGGGTCAGCCTCTGGGCACCAGCCTCGTCCACTACCCCACTTCCTACGACAGCGCACTACGCCACCGGCTGTACCCTGTGTCGACGTGGCACAGCCAGCCCACCTACGCCACCGCCCATGTCCCGGCCTACCATCGGAACAACAAACTGTAGCCCCCCCCCATGGACCCTCAGAGACTTGCCACGTTTGGGGAGCCGTGCGAGGGAGGTGCAAACCCCACGTCTGCAGCGTTTCGACATTTTGATTCCTCTGCTTTTTTTGAGCTCTTATTTAGGACCTTACGAAACAGGACCATGTGACTTTTTTTTAAAACCGGTCAAAAGATGAACTGTCTTTGTATCTGACATGTATGCAAATAACTTGCGCTTAAAAAAAAAAAAACCTTAGAGGGAACAAAGTTCTTATAAACAGAGATTTATATCTGTGCGTGGCGTGGCCCTAATTTCCTTCTAATTTGCCCGTTCTCCATAAGCTGCTTCAAATGCTGCTGGCATATACAAGGGACTAGTCCTCAAGAGAGTCATACGTGCTATGGTGTAGAGGTGGAAGAGGGAAATGAGTAAAACCCGGTTTAATGACCAACACGTGGCATTCTGGATGTGACCTAAGCCCTGTGTAATATAAGCTCCAGGTGTTGCTTAACCCCATAGGAAAGAACGAGCGAGCGTCAGTCTGAAGAGTAGGTTACAGGAACAATCAACATTTTTTTATAAAAAAAAAATGTGGGCACATTTGAATTTTGAGAGCACATTATGGGCATTCTCCAGACAGAGCTGCCAGTTGCAAAAGGTGGATTTCCGAGCTGTTACCTTTAGACAGAGGGCTCAGCAGCCGGGCTGGGTATCCATCTTTGGGTTGATCAGAAACTCAGCCTGATACATCTTTGCTTTTAAAAAAAAAAAAAAAAAAATCTTGATTGGAATTATGCACACACGGTATATATGTTTATTGTAAAAAGGAAAGAGCGCCGATTGCCGATATATTCTTGTATTTCAATATAAAAAAAACTATAAAATAACAGAAGGGAGTTCATTAACAGTAATTCTTGGTTTAATGGTTAAAGCAGTGAGTTCTAGTCCAGTGGTTCTCAATCTTTTTAATGCCGCGACCCCCAACCGGTCGTAAGTTGAGGACTAAACCGGTTGTAAGTCGAGGACTAAACCGGTCGTAAGTCGAGGACTAAACTGGTCGTAAGTCGAGGACTACCCAACCGGTCGTAAGTAGAGGACTTTCCCTGCCTGGGAGTGCAGCGCATGCATGGTTCCGCCCCCTGCGCCGGCCGAGGCGTAGCTGGCAAGCGGCAGAGACGGAGCAGGCCGACCACCAGCTGGCCCAGCCCAAGGGAGGTAAGGCACCCACCGGAAAAGGGGGGAAAAAATGGCAGACAAAAAAAATGGCGGACAGCCTTGCTTGGCGACCCCCGTGAAATGGTCGATTGACCCCAAATGGGGTCCCGACCCACAGGTTGAGAACCACTGTTCTAGTCCCTCCTTAAGCATGAAAGCCAGGTGGGTGACTTTGGGCCGGTAACCGGGAGACAGTGAGTTCTAGTCCTGCTTTAAGCATGATGCCAGCTGGGGGGATTTGGAATAACGCTTCATTTCTGAATCACAAGGAGCCGTATTTCATCAGCTATCACGATACAGGGGAGAAATTTTTCACCTCCGTTTTGGTAGTGTGAGAACAATTTCATGACAAATTCAGCTCCTTTTATTATGCATAGAAAACAGTTTTGAAGAACATCAGTAATGCAACCACATGTTCCTGTTCCTGTAAAATGCCAAGGCTGACAATAATGTCTTTTTGAGCAATTACCATTAATCGGCTCATCAACTCTTTGCATGTGAAACTTTCAGTTGTTGTCATCGACTTCGATCTTAATCAACCAAATCAGCTTTTCCCGGTTCTCACTCTTCACATTTTTGGGCCCAGCGACGTACCGTGCTCATCTAAACGGCCAGTACTCAGGGGTGAATTTCAACAGGAGAGATTCATTCAGCAGTCAAAAATTCAATCACAGCACATTGCTTAAAGCACAAACCAAGTGAAAGAAGGAGAGAAAAAAAGCTAGATCAGAATTTCTAGTGTATCAGTACTGCCATCTAGTGGCAAGTTATAACATTGGGGGCCAGGACTTTTCATTCAGCTTTCATATTATTTCTGTCTCCTCACCCCACCCACCATCCCACCTTAGAATAATTTTAGACCTATGCATAGCTTCACATTACAACCAGACATACATTCCAGTAAAGGATGTGTCAGATTCTACAAGGAGTAAGCAATGTAGGTATTGTTATCAAAACAGAATACTCGATGGAGCAGCTGCTGTAGGTCTGTCCTGTTGCAGAGTGAGCTAAGACTGATAGTTGATTATGAAGAGTCCAGTCCCTAAGATGCTAAGGAGTAAGAAATGTTCCTTGACTTTTGGTAGTGCCATATGTCACTGTCTTCTAGGTCAGGGGTTGGCAACCTTGGCTCTTTTATGACTCCTGGACTTCAACTCCCAGAATTCCTGAGCTGGCTCAGGAATTCTGGGAATTGAAGTCCACGAGTCATAAAAGAGCCAAGGTTGCCTACCCCTGTTCTAGGGAGTTTTGTTTGATTTCCCGGATAACCTATAGTTGTAAGTCCCAAGGGTGCAACTGGACTTCTTGTCTTTTTTCCTTGAAAACGTCTATGGAGAATCTCAGTCATCCAGATCATAGTTGTCTCAAAGCTGGGTTTTTTTTTATATATAAAGGCAACTGGACTATGTTTTTTTCCCTTCTCATCCAAGAAGCTTCATCAGTTCTAAAGAACTGAACGGAAGAAGCTTCTTCGATGAGAAGTGAAATGTTTTCAAGGGAAAAACAACAGCCAAGAAAGGCCAGCTGCTTTTTGGAAAAGCACCTTTGGGACAGCCATGACCTGGATGATTGAGACTCTCCGTAGACCAGGGGTAGGCAACCTTGGCTCTTTTATGACTCGTGGACTTCAACTCCCAGAATTCCTGAGCCAGCTATGGGCTTTTTCCATCTACCTGGCTGAGCCCATCGTGTGAACTCGTCGTTTGCATTACACTCATCTAGCAAGATTTATCGGCCATCCACCAATACGGAGACCGCGAAAAAGTTGTCCGGCCCGTGACAAACTGGGGAGGTGAAGGTGCTAAAAGGAATGAAATGCAGGAAGCAGAGCCTGAACCGAAGCGGCTGGCATTTAAAGAGTAAGCCAGTGATTCCAAGAGCTCCTATGCAGCGTTTGCAAAGTCCAACACAATCGTTGTCTTTTGTGTAAAGGTCACGCTCCCTCCCACTTGGATGCCATTCGGCCCCCTCACCCCCATCACAGATTTGTCAACTCAGCTCTTTTGGCACAATGCTCCAGGCACTGCCGTCACAGAAAGTGAATTTACTGCTAGGAGAGGACATATCCTGCATCTGTGAAATCAAGCCCATTTGGCAACTACTACTACTTCTTCTTTGAATAGAATAGAGCTGGAAGGGACCTTGGAGGTCTTCTAGTCCAGCCCCCACTCAAGTAGGAGAACCTATGCTATCTCATCTCCTTCTCCTCCTCATTGGACTTATTGTGAACATACATATGGATCTGTTGACTTATCTGTTGCTTTTTCTAGATGTTCTGGGACTATTTCCAGAGTTCCTCAAAGGTGATATTGGTTAGGAATGCTGGGTATTTCAAAGCCCAATACTTTTGGAAAGCACCAGAAGTCTGAGCTAAGTTCCAAACTCTCATCCAGTTAAGACTAGATTTCTCTTCCTCCTGCAGATTCTGCTATCACCACAAGATGTCAATATTTCCATATACAATTTCCCGTTTCTCAGCAGCAGTTTTAGAACGTTGCCGCAATTAAACCAGGAAAAAAAATCTACTATATCTGGCCTGCTGACCAAGGGTAGCAATAAATGGTTATAATGCTCAGTCTCATTCTTCTGCCATCCGGTATTTGTCAGGATCTTTGCAGCCAAGATATGAGTGTCTTCTTCTAGAGATGGTCGAGCAGAAAACAGAAAATACGTGTGAAGTAAGTTTGTTGAACTTTGCGTTGAGAGTTCAGAGAGGTCAGGCATCAACGTGCATGCATAAAGATCACAGTTACCACATCTGGGCTCCCAAAATCCAAATAACCCCTGGATGGTAGACAAGGACACGCAGATGTTAAAACAAAACAAGCTTAGCAACTGATGCATCTACAGCAAGAGTTTTGTAGCTAACTTGCTTACGTGTGTTATGTGAACGGAGCCTAGGAATTTCCGGTCTGATTTAAGCGGGTGTGAGCAAGAAGCAAACAGAGTGAATAAATATTTCAATTTTGGAACAAATACTAGAAAAACAACAGGTGAGAATTGGCAAGGGTTGTTTGCTTTTCATAGGAAAATTGACACAAGGTAGCTTAGCATATCATTTGACATCAACCTTAATTGCAGGTAAAGAGAAAATAACTAATTACAGTTTGAAACGTGTGCTGGCGGTGCATACCTATTTGAGGGCAGGAGTCGTCTTTTTTATACACCTCCCTATGGTGTATACACCTCTCCAGGCCAGACCCAGAGATTCCAGGGTGGTTGCATCTTGCAGCCAGAGGGGCACTTTGCACAAGCATGACTTAATAGCTGGAAGGCACATGCCACATGAAGGTTGCGCACTGGGCCAGGAGGGAACTGCCACTGTATCACGTAAAAGGAACTTTTAAAACCATAATTCATGGTTCTTAGGCTCGGTCCTCTTCAATATCTTCACAAATGACCTAGATGAGAGGACGGAAAGGAAACTCATCAAATCTGCAGATAATAATAATAATAATAATAATAATGATAAAGTTGGAAGGGACCTTGGAGGTCATCTAGTCCAACCCCCTGCTCAGGCAGGAAACCCTATACCATTTCTGACAAATGGCTGTCCAGTTTCTTCTTAAAAACTTCCAGTGCTGGCGCATTCACCACTTCTGGAGGCAGGTTGTTCCACTGGTTAATTGTTCTAACTGTCAGGAAGTTTCTCCTTAGTTCTAGGTTGCTTCTCTCCTTGATGAGTTTCCACCCGTTGCTTCTTGTCCTGCCTTCGGGCGCTTTGGAGAATAGCTTGACTGCTTCTTCTTTGTGGCAGCCCCTGAGATACTGGAAGACTGCTATCATGTCCCCCCTCGTCCTTCTCTTCATTAAACTAGACATACCCAATTCCAGCAACCGTTCCTTATATGTTTTAGCCTCCAGTCCCCTAATCATCTTTGTTACTCTTCTCTGTACTCTTTCTAGAGTCTCAACATCTTTTTTACATCGTGGTGACCAAAACTGGATGATACCAAGCAGGGGGAAATTGCTAACCCTTTGGAAGATAGACTCAAGACTCAGAAGGATCTTGGTAGACTTGAGCATTAGGCCCTATTCAACCAGATGCAGTTCAGTGATGAGAAATGTAAAATC